TGTCCCGTTGGGGTAGTGGGGGTGGCACTCGCCCTTCTTCTGATAGGAAATGCTCTGCAGGTGGGGGGAGTGGGGGGGTGAGAAGGGTCAGTTGGGGGAGTGAGAAATGTCCCTATTTTCATCTGTTGGAGGGTAGGGAGCTGTGTGCCATGAAAACTCAGATGGTGCAAGGGTCACTGCAAACCTGATCAAACACGTGTTGGAGCACATTATTCTGCCTACCATGTATCTATGAAGGCAATGAAGAAAATCTACCCCGACATGTTCATTGTGTCCTTTTCTGAGTGACTCAAACTTTGTTAACATGGATTCCAAGCGTATGCAAGGCACTCGGTTACCCAAGAGACCAACACTCCGGCTACAACGTGGCCCCTCTGTCACGGGTTGCTGAAGAGACCCAGCTGACCTCTGCAAAGAATTGGGCCTTCAGAGTTGTGGGACCAGATCTTTGGAACTCCCCCCCCCCTTGAAATATGCCAGGATCCTACCATTTGTGCTTTTGACAAATGCTGAAGGCATTTTTCTTCACTCAGGCTTCTTTGGTATAATCTTCTTAATTTGTCCACAACCACTGCTGAAAGCCAGGGGAGGAGGAAGGGTGTGTGGTAGGGGTGGTCCGCCCCGGGTGTCACCACTGAGGGGGGGGGTGACAAAAAGCCAGCCGGCACTCATTGTGGGGCCTGAAACAAATGCCCCAACACTGAGACAGTCTGGGACATATGCAGTTATGGAGCGATGCAGGATTTAGGATTGCCAGGTTGATTTCTGGCTTTGCTCGTGAGCCCTTAAAGGGCAAGGTGTGACAAGTGGAAATTCAGAAAGTGAAGCTTTTCCTACCCTGTTAATGTGTGCTGTGGTGGGATACCTTCTTTAAAGGTCTTTAAAGGGACATAATTCCAGATGGTGGCAGAGGCAGGAACACCCAAAGCAATCCTAATGCATTCCTTCTGTGCGGTGACTTCTGTTGTGACGCTAAACCCTTTCCTTGAGCTATAACAAAGCAGCTCAGCTCCTCAGGGCCTCGCTGTTTTTCGTGCTTCCACCTGTAGCGCCACCAGGGAGGAGCAAGGCAGGCCTGAACGCGGACCACTGCAGCACACTCCCGGCTAGTTGCAACAAGCCCGGCATGAACTCCTGGCCCAGATGCACCAGAGGCCCAGGCGGCACCAGCTGGAGTGCAAAAATGCAGCTGCCTCTGGGCAGGGATTGTTGAAGGTGTGTTCAAGGGGGGTTTCCTCTTGGGAGAGGGAGACTCCGGCAGAAGGAAGGGAAGAGGCAGTTTCACTTAAAGAGGGGGGAGGACAAGCAGAAGGCAGCCCAGTTTTGCCTTCCAAGATCTGTTCTTGAGTCTCCATCGGGTGTCAATATGTGCCACTCAAGAAACCATTAACGATGCCTTCTTCTTCCCTCTCACTCACTTACTGTATGTGATTCCAGAGCACTCTCAGGATCCATCCAAACTGGCGTCTCCCAGAGCTACTTTGTTCCTACTTTCCGGCTGTAAGCTGTGTGTGGAATTGCAACTGACTTTCCACACTTTGCATGGGGTAGCACACTGTGTGTGCACTCGCTCGCTCGCTCGCTCGTTATTTCACTGTAACACCCTCTTAAAAGGTTACACACTTGTGGAGCTCTATGGATGGAGAAGGGGCGAACAAAACAGCACTGGCTGTTAAAACCAGAAAAGGAAGTGTGCTTTAAGAAGGCAATACTTTAATTTGTACCACAGTGCTTTTTCACCTAAACACTATTCTGTGAATATTTCATTTTTTTAAAAAAATGGCAAAAGGTGTTTTAAAAGCTTGAAGAAAAAGCCCTAGTAAAATGGCACCATTGTGTCAATAGTAGGGTTGGCATATCTGGACACCCCCAAAATTGTTAAGCTTTTTTTGCAAATTCCTCCCACCTTTGAAATCCCAGGTGTATGGCAGCCCTGGTCAATAGTGAAGGTGTGCCTGAGAGCTTTAACATATGACCTGTTTATTCATGCATCCTGATTTACTTACACAAAGCTTATGTGGTTCTTACATCATTATATCCAATATTCATTGAGCATTTGCTCTGATTTGTTTCCTGGGCTGTTATATGGCGGTGAGCATTCAGCCTGCGTTCATCCTGATCTGTTTGCAGGATGTTTACACATGTTCTCCTTAGTAATTCCTTAGTCCCACACTTTTCTGTGCAATTCCTCATCATTTTCCAACCCCCAAACATCTGTTTGCTTTAAATGGATTTGTTGTACCTGGGTGACACAGCCCTGCAATCTACTTTAATCTTTCAAACCTACCGGTAATGTTCTGGTATGCACTGACAGTCTGGAGGCTCTCAAAGTAGTTTTGTAGGCAAGGCTTATCTGTTGCTCTTTCTTTCTCGGGACAGTGCCTTGTGACAATGCAGCATTCATTTCAAGTTAATTGGGAAAATGGGAGTTGTCGTCTCCTCCCCTGAGACAAGTACTGTTAATTTTCTGACACATTTAAAAAGTCATTTTCTTATGGTCTCTCTGAGTGTCTCTTATTTTGGAGTTCTTCCCATAGCTCACCTGCCCATTATTTCACTGCACTTGCCAAAATGGAAGGGGAACCCCAGGCTCAGACAACAAACTTCTGGGATTCAGGCCTTAGCACAGAAAGTGCCCAGCGCTCCTGACTATGTAAGTGGTGTGATTTTCAAAATGCACATAAAATCCAAAAACAAATAGGCCCAGATGATTGCTAGATTACCATACTTTATTCAGAAAATCCACTCTACCAAAAAGAGAGAGAAATCCTAAATATGTTGGAATATGCCTACACATGTTGTACGTGAATGTTACATCCTTGTGTGGCCATCAGGGGTATCAAGAGTGGAGCAGGCACAACCTCACTCCCCTCCACACATCATAGGCCAAATCGGGAGAGATATTGTTTGAGACAGCCTTTTATCCCCAACTAAGATCTTGAGATCTTGCTGCTGCTAAAGGCTCTGGGAGGTAGGGGCTCTTTTGCTTCTTGTTTTTAAAGGGTACCGGTAAGTCTCCAGGTTAGTAGCAGAAACAGAGCGTATTTAAGTGCTGGCCAGGAGGGAGAATTTCACTGCTATTTTTCTCTGCCTCCCCTGGTTGTGCATTCAGACACGCAGATCTTCTTCGCTAGTCCTCCTCATGCATGTCTGGAGGGAGATTTTGTTCTTGAAAAGGAAACTGCCATGCAGGTGGAGCGAAGCTAGATGAAGAAGAAAATCTCTGGATCTGTGCCTCTGGGGCAAACCCGGGCAAGCCCAGGAATCCTGCCCCGCAGCCTGCTGCTTTAAACTTGCTGGTTCCCTCCCCCACCTCCTTCCCAGTCCACTCAGAAGTCCAGACTTCCAGACTCCGCACCCTCACCCACTAGACTCCACTCCTTCCTAACAAAACAGCTGCCTCTGGGGCAGGATGGGGCGTGCCAGGGGAGACAGGCCTGCCATCTTCCCTCCCTCAGGCAAGCCAGGGTGGAGAAGGCTCATGGAATGCAGCCCGACTGCTTCCCAGGGTGTGGGGCAGCCAGCCCTGACACGCGCCCCAAGTCATTGGGCTCGCTTGGCTCGTGGCTTCCCTCACGCCAGGACTGGGTGGGGCCCCCTCCCTTTAACCTCTCTGTTGCCAGAGCCTGCCACCCTTTCCTGGGCTGTTTCCACAAACTTCCCTGAGCTAAGAACCAGGGAGCCCCCGCCCCCTGCTTGGACCCTGTCCGCTGCCATGAATTCCCTCTCCGCCTCCGTCCTCCAGCTGCTGTGGGTGCAGAGTCTTGCCTTACAGGGTTGTTGGGAAGGCTGCAACCAGATAATGCAAGAGAAGCCGCTTGAACATTCTGCAGTACAGTAAAAAAAATCAGTTTCCAAAATACAGGTACCCCACAAGCTTCCCACAGAGCGTAAGCCAACTTCTGTTCTCTCCTCCGATCTCTTCTCTTTCTGTCACACGCACCTCTATTCTCCCAGTTCAGTAGCACCCCAGATTTCCACCCAGAATTCAACCCTGCCTCCACCTCATTACATACATTCCCATCACCTCATCACTACCTAAATGGTGGGTGGGGGACGCATAGCACATGCCTTAGCTCAGAGCAGATTACAGGGGGTGGGGTGTTGAATTTGGTTTGACACAATCCTCGTGCCTGCTCTGATCCCCTCTAGATTCTCAGAAGCACACATCTCGAACATTTCTCCCAGGCTTCAATGCCATACCCACTCCCATGGGGGTAGCCAAAGGGGGCAGGGAGGGGCAGCTGCCCCCCATCAATAAAAATCAGTAAAAATACATAGCTAACTGAGGTCCTGGCTACACCCATGCCCACTCCCCATTCTTCATGCATTCAAAGGATGGACCTCTGAGACCCTTTCCTGCCATCCGTCCCTTTATGTACAGTGGTACCTTGGGTTGCATACGCTTCAGGTTACAGACTCCACTAACCCAGAAATAGTACCTCAGGTTAAGAACTTTGCTTCAGGATGAGAACATAAATCTGGTGCTCTGGTGGCACGGCGGCAGCAGGAGGCCCCATTAGCTAAAGTGGTGCTTCAGGTTAAGAACACTTTCAGGTTAAGAATGGACCTCCGGAACGAATTAAGTACGTAACCAGAGGTACCACTGTATTTGACTGATCAACTAATACCAAATTAGAAATGAAAACTGATATAGGCATTAAAAAGTGTGAAACAAGTAAATTGCTTGTTTTGAGATCAACTGTATGATGTACAAAGCAGCAATCAAAGTATAAAATGCAAACTGTAACACCCTCACAGACACTGAGATTAGCAGATCAGAATCTCCCCAAATTTATGCTCAAACCCCTGATCCCCCCCAAAAGTGCTTCCTTGCTCTTCCAGCATTTGTCAATGGAAGCTCTGTACAGCTCATCCCCTTGGAATACCCCCCCCTTGCCATCTGCTGCACACCTGCCTCTTTGGGGGGCCCTGCACTCTCTTCCGCCTCCCCACAAGGGAGTGCACAGACACACACACACTTGCCCTGAGGGGCTAACAAGAGAGGGGAGAGGAGGGTGTCGGGCCTGTTAGAACTGGCCAATTCTAGCCCCACCTCTCTGCCTCTGCTAGGTAGAAATCCAAAAGTTCAAGAAGGGATGCTGTGGGTGGTGACGGAAAGTTGCACTCTTCGAAGAACAACCTGTTGGGTCCAGAGAACTGGTGGTCCCCTTCAGCCCTGGGGAGAAAAGGGGGCGCATTCAGAGCCTCCCTTTGCTGGAGTAGGGAAAGATCTCGAAATACCCACAGCTTGAGCAGATTAAACATCTAGATTCAGGGTGGCCCTGATTTCTGCAGCGAATTTCTCTCGAACAAGCGGCAACTCTCCTGTGAGGACCTCCTAGCAGAGATGGCCTTGGCTGATCTTCACTACACCACAGGCATCAGCAGTGGATTCAAGGTCTACATCTTGGAAGGTGAGTCCCACAAACCCTTGCCTTTAATGCAGTTTGTGTGCAACTTCCAGTGCTCCCTTTTGCAGCCGCAGAGGCAGTGGGATGTAGCAGTTAAAATGAGCACATCCCCTTTAACCTGGCTGAGTGCTGAGCCTAATGCTGCACACGGATCCCTGTTCCTGCTACACCAGGTATCAGCCATATCCTGAGGGCATGAAAAGCAATTGCAGGCTCCAAGCTGCGCTCGGCCTGGGAGAGGCAGCACCCTGCCTGCCACCATCTCGGCTCTTCCAGGTGTCGCCACTTCGATTCTCCTCAGTGGCCCACTTCACAGGGCCGGCCACTCTAACACTGCCTTGCTCCACACCCCCACCCCCCACACCCCCGATTCACCCTTAGAGGTGCATATTAGAGTGGAAGTATATTGGGGGAGAGAAAATTTTCCATTTTTAATTTGAATCTGCTTGCAGTATTTCGTTCACACATTCACCTCCTTCTGATTTTTCAATATGCATACTTTTATTTTTATTTGTTTTATAGGTTTATAGGCTGCCTTTTGAAAAAGGAAAACAGTTTATCCCCACCAGCTGGTGGTTCCTTTTAGATTTGCACACATTACTCTTGTCTGTGTCTATCCTCCTTCCCCCACTGTTGTCTTCACAGTTGGAATTTGGATTGTATGCTCTCTGGGGCAGAGGCTTCTGTCTTTTGCAGTGATTATGGTAGCACACCATGTGCTCATCTTGACTGCAGCCCACAAAAATAAGGGGTGTTAAAATCCCCTTTGGGTGGGGGAAGTGTTCTGTCTTACCTGCCTAGAGCAGGAACAGTGGGGTTCAGCTAGGGAAGGGGGTCAACAAAGGGTCTCTTGGCACATTGAGACCTATCGGATGTATTGCATCAGTAGCTTTCATGGACTTGAACTCACTTTGGCAGATCCAGGCAGTATTGTGCTCGGTTTCACGCATATGATGTGAAGTTGGCTCTCATTCTATGATTCTATGATTCTATGATTCATCCCCAATAGCTTTCCCCAGCACAAATCTGGGCAAGCGCTCTGAAACAAGTGAGAACTGGCATGAATATGGGACAAGGTGCACTGCTAATTAACTAATCCCACAACCTACGAACGCAGGTCTAGAGGCACATTGCATACAGAAGTGGTGTCGGGTGCCACACCAGTACCTGTCTGAACAGGAACCATTAGTCAATGCCATTGCTCCACCCACTTTGAAAAAAGGAAGGAGCATTCAGCCCAGACATTTTCTTTGAGGTCCAGACTTATGTGCTCAGAAAAGGCAAGTGGCATTGCCTACCTAGAGCTGCACATAGAATGCAGATGGAGGGAACTGCGTATGTATTTGAATGGTTGGCCTTAAAAGGGATATCAGGGATGGGGAAACTGTGGCCCCCCAGATGCCTTTGGAATACAGCTCCCATTATCCCCTGACCTTCGGTCACGCTGGCAGGAGATGATGGGAGCTTGAGTCCCAACAACCTCGGGGGGGGGGCCTACAGGTTCCCCACCCCTCATCCCTGTTTAAAATAAATAAATAAATGGATGAATCAATGAATGAATGAAAGCCAAGTCTCCCTGCACATAGACACCTAGCATGGCTCAGCTAGGCTCTTTTCCCAAATGTGCTCATTTTTTATGGGTATAGGATTTTTAATTCCTTTTTTTCTTTTTCTTTTTTGAATGAGGGGCATTCAGAATGGGATCTGCACCCTGAGGCAGTTCAGTCCTAGGAGGGCGATAACAAGTCCTTTTTCTGCATCTGCCCTAAGACTTAGAGTGTTGCCGTTCTCAACAGGCTCATTCAGAGCAACTGATCCTCACAAGCCTCAAGTGCAGCCCAGACAGCTGCTCTAGTCATCATGGCAAACAGGAGGCAGCCCCACATGGGGGGTGGAGAAGTGCTGCTGCTCAAAACTCCCCTGGTCTTTTGGGTCTGTGGCCAAGCAGGAGAGCGTAGCAGTGCATTGCTAAATCAGACTGGCCCTGTGGCATTGTCTAGAAGCCTAATAAAAGTGAAGATCATGTTCCCTGTGTGATTATACAGGAGTGGGTGGGGTGGGGTGGTAAAGCTTATATTCTGTGAACCGCCTGAGACCCCTGGGTATAGGGCGGTATATAAATTTAATAAATAATAATAATAATAATCCCTGACAGGTGCCAAAGTCAGTTTAGGAGTTTTTTTAAAAAGTTAAACGTCTGCATCTCAGGGGGGAAAGCGCCTGAAAACAAAACTTGGAAAGGCGGTCATTTTGTGGAATTTGTTGACCCCTGAGTATCTTTCCCTTTTGTTTCTGAAATCTTCATGGCTACAAAGTCAGCACAGGACTATTCCCTTTATCTTCAGTCTTGGAGAAAAGCAGAAGGGAAACTTGAAGGAAGTCCAGAGCTTTCATTCCAGCCATCTCTGATTAAAGGATTCTTGGTAGCAAGATTAGAAAGACCCCTCCTGGACAGCTGCTACCATTCAGTCCACACCATGTAGAGAGAGACATGCACACCAGAGCAAGGGCTCTGTGACCTCCGCACTAAACAATAAAATAAAATTCTGCATCCAGACAATCTGAATCCTACATTTTAAAAAATGAATGTTGATGCCTGATATGTTGCTTGTGCTCTTTTTTTAGACTCTCATTTAGCATAATTTATTCTTCAGTGTTTCCCTTCCTGCATAGTTTCTAGTCATGGGGAGGAGCGATGTCAGGCACCACTTTTAACCACAGGAAATCAAGGTTAGCCACTTCTCTGGCATTTCCAAATGTGTTGCTCACACCTGTTTTTAGATGAAAGCAGAGATTCTCCAGATGTGGTGCCCAGTGCCATGTTCTGCGCCTTTTCTGTGCTCCTGTGGAATCATGGCAGGCACACACTCAAGAAAACAGATACACGCTTATAACACGGCTGCTTTTCGTAATAAGGATCCCTGCCAGAGCCATAAAGCCTGACATTATTGTACACTGCTGAATGCTCTAGTCTGCCCGCTGCCTTCATTTGTTCTGCGAGAGCCTCTTCTGGGCAAAAGCCCCGGTGGTGTTTGTCCTTTTGGTTATGGATATAGCAGATTACACAGGATGTTATCAACAGTTCAAAATTGACTTCCCCCAGTGCAGTATGTGAAGCAGCACTTTAGTATTCAGGCTCATGCATGTACTTGCACAAGCACTTGAATCAAGATGTATCCAGCCCTCTACTCCTTAGGCCCTCCAATCCTAAACCTGCTTACCTGGGAGTAAGTCCCATTGAATTCAATGGGGATTACTGCTGAGACAACGTGTAGGATTGCACTGTTGCTGGACTCCCATTTCCCCTGACTGTTGGCCATAACTGTGGGAGCTGATGAGAGCTGGAGTGCAATAGCATTCTTTGCTCTAGAGGCTCTGAGAAGGGGGTTCAGCCTTAAAGACTGACAGCTGTTGCTGTCTCATGCTGAGCAATCTTTTAAGAAGCCCTGCTATAAGGCTGTTTTCTGCAGATGCAATAGAGGCGATGAAGAAGGTCCTCTTTGCCATCACCGTCGCCACTTGGTAGGCTCAACATTGAGCTTTAACCCGTGTCTGGTCCGATTTCCGCCACCAGCGCTCTAGCCGTCTCAGCGATTGTTTCATCACCCTCAGCTCCGGGAGAAACTGAGGGAGAAGACACTTCGGAGCCAGACAGTCAATAGCCCTGGTTAACTCCGTATTCCAACGGGTCACCGGGGAATCAGCTGAAAGGCGATCAACATGGGATAAAGCATCCCCTACCACTCTCTGGAAACCGTTTGGATCCATTAAGTGGCGGGGATGGACCATAAGAATCAGTCCCACCTCCCTGCAGAGGGGAAGGGTCTCAGAGAAATCCAGTTGCACCAGGAAGTGATCTGACCATGGCACTTCTTTAGTTTCGCTTTTACTTAGTGTCAGATCACCAACATCCATAGAGGTGAACACCAGGTCTAAGGCATGTCCGCGGCTATGAGTTGGGCCAGACTTATTCAGGGACAGCCCCATGGAGGCCATGCTTTCCACGAAGTCCCGAGCAGCCCCTTGTAAGGTCGTGTTGGCATGGATGTTAAAATCCCCTAGGATAAGGTTACCAGGCATCCCCATTTCCCAGGGACAGTCCATGGATTTACAAATCAGTCCCCATACAAAATCCATTGAAGTTGACCAGTGTCCCCGGATTCATTGAAAACAATCTGGTAACCTTACCCTAGGACAACCAAACTAGGTGTCTCCAGGAGCACATCCATCATGACCTGAAGCAGCTCAGGCAGGGAGTCCTTGATGCAGGATCCTTGACCTTCTCTGGGTCTCCATGCCTTCTGCCCAGTCACCATTGCATAATGGGAAACCAGCCAACTTGCTTGCTGCCAGTGCCAGGTCCATTCTTGCTCTCATGCCCAGTCCCAAACCACAACACCCAGGGCCAGCCCCAGACATTTTGGTACCTGAGGTGAACCACAAAATGGTGCCCCCTTCTCACCAGGAAAGAAGGGAGGAGTGAAGCTCAACACCAGGAGCATTGGGGGATAAAGACCTACATCGGGATCCACTGCCTCCGGGGACCTTGCTGCCTGAGGTGGTTCCCTTGCCTCGCCTCGTGGGTGAGCCATCCCTGACGGCACCCCACGCAAGCGTTCCCGTCCACCCTGCTGTCAAGTTGCACTGCAAGATGTTTCATTGGCGCTCTCTTTCCAGGTCAGTCGTCTTTCGAGAACGAGCCGAGGTTCCCCCGCTTCCCAGCCCATCGGCTGCCTGTCTATGCCATCAAACGCAAGCCCAGTGTGGATGTGAGAAGCCCTGAACGGAGCTTGCATGGGCAGAGGGCGTCGAAAGTCAAGCGATCGACCTGCGGGCCTGTGGCAGCGTGAGTGACCTTGAGGACCACCAGGGGGCGTTGTAGCATAAGGGCTTTCTGAAGAAGTGTGTATGCGCACAAAAACTTATACCAAGAACAAACTTCGTTGGTCCCTTAGGTGCCACTGGACAATTAATTTTTTTATATATTTCCACTCTTCAGTGGTTAGAGTATTGGACCCGAGAGACCAAGGTTCAAATCCTCACTCAGCCATGAAGCTCACTAACTAGTCATCCTCAGGCCAGTCCCAATCTCTCAGCCTGACCGACCTCACAAAGCAGTTGTGAAGATTAAATGCGCAGAAGGATAGTCATGTTTGCCACAGTGCGCTTCTTGGAGGAACAGTGGCATACAAATGTACAAACACACAACTTTATCAAATGTATTCAGAGTAGAAGACTAAATTTCTTTTGTAAATTAGGCATTATATTTTCTGTAGTTAAGCCTAAAGGTGCACATATTTATAGGCATGCCAATTGTCTGGAAACGATGGTTTCCTATTTTAAAATGGTCCCAGTTCCATGGGGACCAGGCGCATTTTAACTGGGAAGGAAGAGCCTTGGGCAACTCATTAATTTCTCAGCTTCAGTCCCTCAAGTGTAGAATGAATAAGATGTATAGACTATTTTATATTAATTGTATAGGTTGTGCTTATATTTAAAGCAAAACTGGGGCTAGGGATGAATACAAGCCGTAGTTCTGTCTGTGGGTATAAAGCTGTAGTTAAAATGACTTACAGGGTGACACCCACATTACTGGGTGGCCTCTTCAAGATGCTCTGAGCCATATTCTGAAGTCTCGTCTCTCCAGATGCCACCTTCTCCTCTGCCAGTGCATGAAGACTAACAGAGGACATGGGTTTCTGCTCTCCTCCCAGTTTATTGTCACAACAACCCTGTGATCAGGCTGAGAAACGGGACTGGTCCAACGTCTCCCAGAGAGCTTCATCTAGCCACCTCCTGACCAGCAAGTTCTAGCACAGGGTCACTGCTTAGCCTGGCATGCAAGTGGCAGAGAATTGCCAAGAGATCTAGTGTGGGGTCAGGCATGCCTCCTTCCGCATTGCAGACAGGGCTTAACTTCCACAGGGAAAGTGACAAAGTGCAAGACTTTAAGGAAGAAACATGACGCTCCATCCCTAATCCCTGAAGTGAGGGGGGGGGTTGGTGGGTGAGGGGAGAGCACTTTGCACCACTTCTTCACTCCTGTTTCCTGTGATGTGAGGCTAAGACCCCAGATTCCAAAGAGAGACTCTCTAGATTATTATTAATTAATTAATCAAATGTACGAAGAATGGATGCTTTTCAATTATGGTGCTGGAGGAGACTCTTGAGAGTCCCATGGACTGCAAGAAGATCAAACCTCTCCATTCTGAAGGAAATCAGCCCTGAGTGCTCACTGGAAGGGCAGATCCTGAAGCTGAGGCTCCAATACTTTGGCCACCTCATGAGAAGAGAAGACTCCCTGGGAAAGACCCTGATGCTGGGAAAGATGGAGGGCACAAGGAGAAGGGGACGACAGAGGACGAGATGGTGGGACAGTGTTCTCAAAGCTACAAACATGAGTCTGACCAAACTGCGGGAGGCAGTGGAAGACAGGAGTGCCTGGCGTGCTCTGGTCCAGGGGGCCACGAAGAGTTGGACACGACTAAACGACTAAACAACAACAAATATGCTAACTTTCATCCATAGATCTCAAGGCAGCTCACAGCATGGCAATTGGCCCTCAAATAGGCTGTGGCTCCATGACATTATGTTTGCTGACTGGGAACAGTTATGGACCACCGGTATAAAGTTTACGGCATGTAATGCCTTAAGAGAGAATATTATGAAAATGATTTATAGGTGGTACATGACCCCAGTCAAGCTGGCAAAAATCTATCATTTGCCCAATAATAAATGTTGGAAATGCAATGAGACTGAAGGTACTTTTTATCACCTTTGGTGGACGTGCCCGAGGATTAAGGCTTTCTGGGAAATGATTTATAATGAAATTAAGAAGGTCCTTAAATGTACCTTTCACAAGAAACCAGAGGCCTTTCTCCTGGGCATGGTTGGCCAATTGGTGTCAAGGAAGGATAGGATGTTTTTCATGTACGCTACCACAGCAGCAAGGATCCTTTTAGCAAAGTATTGGAAGACACAAGAACTACCCACGCTGGAAGAATGGCAGATGAAGGTGATTGACTACATGGGACTGGCTGAGATGACCGGCAGAATCCGTGACCAAGGAAAAGAGACGGTGGAAGAAGATTGGAAGAAGTATAAAGATTATCTTAAGAACAGTTATAAAATTAATGAGTGTTAAAATGTCAAGGGTATTGGAAAAAATAGAATTACAGCTGTAAATGATTGGGTAAGAGAGGTAAGATTAAAGAAAGCGAACAAATATGTTAATGAAGTGAGGGGTTGTTGAGAAAATTTTAAAAAAAAGGGATGCAGAAAAGGGAGGCATGGGGAAGTCGGCGAAACAAGTTTAAGAAAAGGAGGTTATGAAATTATACGTGTTTATATGTTTGTTTTTTGTTTGTTGATGTATTGTGAAGTGTATTGTGTTTATTTTATGTTGGAAAATCAATAAAAAAATTATTAAAAAAAACAAAAAAAAAATAGGCTGTGGCTCCATGCAGGAGCAGATTTCACATATGGATTAATCTAGCCCTGTAATCCAGTATCATTTGTACAGCGGCAGAGCATTCCTGAGGAGGTGAGGCACAGAGGGGGCCTCCCAGGTGTGGGATAGCTGCTCGGGTGCACAGAGCGGCGCATACTCTGTGCTGAAGTGGTTCCTCCATACTGAAGTGGTTTTCAACCAGTGTGCCGTGGCACCCTGAGGTGCCTTGAATGATGGTCAGGGGTGCTGCGGGCAACACTGGCCTCTGTCCCTCTTTCCTCCCCTCTGAGGCCCTCTCTTGTCTTTGCCTCCTAAAGGCTTGCACAGCTGTTTGTTGCAGCAGCCCTGGCTACAAGCTCCCCAGGCGAAGGGTGCCTCTTGGGGTGGCCACGGGGTGCTTCCCTGGCCCCTGTGGGGCAGTGTGAGGAGGCACCTCTCTTTGGGGCGGGGGGGGGAGTAGTTGCCCTGAGGACTCCCAAGGAGAGAAGAGGAGGCTGAGGGAATACTCCACAAGGGAGGGTGTTTTAAAAAGGGTGAGGGTCTGCCAGTTCTTTGGACAAGGGGTGATATAACTGGGTTCCTGAGCCCCACAGGGGTGCCGCAGAAAGAATGTAGTTGGTTAAGGGAGCCATGGACTCAGAAAGGTTGGAAACCTCCGATATACTGCATAGGTGACGCTCTCTCTCTCTCTCTTCAGCTCCCTGGAAGAGAGGGTTCCTCCTGCTGCACAGATCCCGATTGCTGTTCCCTGTGTCACCACGTCCAGACCTGAGCCTTGCAGAGACTCTCAAGCGCTTCACCCCTCCTGCCCACGTAAATGCCCCCTGAGGAAGCCCCTCCTGGAGCCAGCCCTCACTGTCTCCCAGTTGCAGCAGGTAAGTCCTGGCTAAGCGCTCCTTCCACCTTCACCTTGTCCTTCCTCATCTCCAGCTCAGAACACCTCTTTCCCTGATCTTTCAGATGCGGCCTTCAGTTATCACCTGCGCACCCCGCCGGAGCCGACCAGAGAAACCTGAAAGCACCAGCCCTGCAGTGAGTCCCCATTTCCCCTTCTCTCTCTCTCTCTCTCTCTCTCTCTCTCCCTCTCTCTCTCTCTCTCTCTCTCTCTCTCTGTCTCTCCTCTCTCGCAGTCTCTTCCCCAACCTGCTGACTAAGGATTGATGGGAGTTGTAGTCCAAGCCACAGAGAACTAAGCTTTTCTTAGGCAGGAAGAAGGGGGTGCTTATATTTATTTTCATTCTATTTTTGTAAAGTATTACATTATTATTTCATGTTATAATGTATATAAAACAGAGATGCCAATTATAACACCAAATGACCTGCTTATTGAGCATTCATCCTGATTTGTTTGCAGGCAGATCATACAATGTTGGATATTTAGTAAGCATCCATTCTCATTTGTTTGTGGGAAGATTAGAGGATGGTTGCATCAAACCATCAAATTCCTGACCTGCTACTTTCCTTATTGCAAAAAATCTGATCTCTTAAGTGGGTTTGTTGCGCAAGACCTCCCAATCAATTATAATGGTGCGACCTGAATGTGTCAGTACAGTGGTACCTCAGGTTACATACACTTCAGGTTACAGACTCCGCTAACCCAGAAATATTACCTCGGGTTAAGAACTTTGCTTCAGGATGAGAACAGAAATCGTGCTCCGGCGGCGCAGCGGCAGCAGCAGGAGGCCCCATTAGCTAAAGTGGTGCTTCAGGTTAAGAACAGTTTCAGGTTAAGTATGGACCTCCGGAACGAATTAAGTACTTAACCCGAGGTACCACTGTATGTGATTGAACCCAACCCTAAAACAGGAGCTGCCTGGAAGTGTCCTCAGGTGACTTTTATGTCACTGTAACTGTCATGGCTTCTCCCAAAGGATCATGGGTCACACTGCTGAGAAATCTGTTAGAGACCCCTAGTTTTGCCAGACCCTCAACATAACTGCATTTCCCAGGGAATTCCCAAAATCTGTATATGAGGCCCCCTTTTACAGCATAATGTCAAATATTTGTTTGTGCAGAGTACATGCAGTCCTGATTCTAATTCACACACAATTCCCATATATATTTGCTCAGATAAACATGCTGTGCATTTGGAAGGCAGAGAGGGGATGGTAGAGAAGGACCTAGAGGAGAAGTCACAGAGTAGTTACTCCCCCCACAGAGCACCCTTTAACCACCCTGCTGCTCTCACAGCCGGGGGGGGGGGAGGTTGAGGGTTGCTTTCCATACATCTGTTCACCGCCTGGTTTTCAATTCACATACGGGATTATGAGCACAGAACCAGATGCTGAGGGGGCAGGAGAGCAGGCCAGGTTATGGCTTTTTGCAGGTGTCATCAGAAGCCCGTATTTCCTGACCAAACCTGTTTTTCCCCAACAGATCACCCCATCAGACCGCAGGAGCACGAGCTCTGATCCTGCCCCCCCACAGAGGCTCCATGCATGGACCACGGGCTCTGTGGGGCCTTCAGCACAAGTCAGCAGAGAAGCATCTCCCAAGCAAAGAATCCAGCGTGCAGACAAGAATCCCATTCCCAGCGCTTGAAGCTCTTTGGCTTTGACCTAGCAGGTCCCTCCTGTGTCCCTGTGGTCCAGCAATGAGGAATTCTCCAGATGTTGCTGGACTCCCGATTCCCATCAGCGTCAGGCAGGGAAGCCAGCAGGGAGAGACGATGGCAGCTGCAGTTCATCAACATCTGGAGGGCCACTGGTTCCCTGCCCATCTGTATTGGCTATCCTTGGACCCCTAAGCCCAACCCCCATCCCTTTTTATGGCCAAGTAGCTGTCCATATTCCGACACCATGTCCCTGGCTCAGTGCCCTCCTTCCCTACACCTTGTGTTCTTATTCCCCTTCTAGACCTACAAATTGAACTGCCTTTCCTGTCTCAAACCCATTTATGTGAAAACCCTGCTGGTTCCAATGGAACTGACTTCTAAGTCAGCATGCTCCTTTAACACAAGAATTGCTCTTGCCCGGTCAGATACCACAGAGGGTCCATTCCAGTCCCATTTTGCTTTCAGCAGGAGCCAGGCCAGCGCTCCTGGGAAGTGAAGATGGAGCAGGTGCAAAGGCAAGAGCCCTGTAGTGACCCGGGTTCCAGAATGGTGATGTGTACAAAGCCTAAAATTCCAGCCTCTGTGCTGTGCACAGAGACTGGAACTGGAACTGAGAACGGAAAGTCTGAAAACCTCATACACTCCAGGAGTCCAGGTGATGTGTAGCCAGCAGGTGATGGCTAGAAACTTCCCACCTTGGTTTCCCCAGTGCAAACAAGCAGATAAATTCCAAGAAAGTACAAGAAAAGAAGAAAGAGTGCCCAATCCAGCACTCATAGGAAGATCCAAGAATCACAAGTAGCCTCTGACAGAGGAACCAAACTAAGACAAAATATGGACCCTTTTCTACGTGGGACTCAGCCCTGAAAGTGGAGGAGAGCCATTTTAAAAAAACACATCATTTTATATTTCTCTAATTCATGAGTGTCAATAAAGTAGCGTTGAACTGTGTCTTGTGTGTGCAGTAAGATTTCTGCTTGTGGTGCTTTTGGGTTTTTTGGCCTCAAAGCACTCTCTGGGTAAAGTGTTCAGGTTTGGTAACCAGCGCTGGATTTCCATTCACTTTGTAGAAGTAATTGTTGCCAATTCTGCCCGAAATTAAACCTAATGTTTTAGTCCTGTTAAGCCTGTTCCATTACCATGGGGAAAGCAAGCCCTGAATTCCAGTTTATATATACTGAGAGGCCTAACAGAGACTGATGCAAAACCCAGAGGTCTCCACTTTATTGTGTCAGGGATATGTGTGTTAGATGAGTCCAGATGCAACAACCCAAATAGATGATTGTCTACCAGGACATCCCTTCCTACTCAGCTAATCACTACAATGGAATGTATTGCCCTACTATTACCTCTGCAACCTCAGCACACAGCCCAGCCCAGGAAATGCTTTTCACTCTGGAACACTTAGAACCTTTAAGAGCATTCCAGGACAACAGGGCAGGCAAGCAAATAGCTAGAGAGGTTATTGCCTTTTTTACAAAGCTCCTGTCATTGTTACTAATTTTTTAGCATATTGTCAAAGATACTATTTTTCAGCAAATCTACACAGAATAATAGAATTGTAAGTCCAACCCCTTGCAATGCAGGAATCTCAACACATGGTTTCCCATCCCATTTGAAACCATTCTGGACCCTGCTTAGCTTTGCAAATGTGCGAGCAGTTTTATTGCTGCACCACTAGGAGGTACATACTTTTACACCATATTCATCTGTCTGCAAGCAGAGCTCTCAACAAACAGCCTAAAACATCCAGATGCAGAGTAGTGGTTGCTTTTACAGTAAATGAAAACAGTAGAATCCATAATGTGATTAAAATCTCCCACCTAGGACACACACTGGCCTGATATGCTAAGCATTTTTTTTTAATTTCAAAAATAACAATCATATATTAAACAACAACCAACAAGCATACAATGAATTATATCTATGTGAAAATGAAAAAATGCTTATGAAATGGGGGAAAGCTTATATGAATTAATACCCACATTACACAGTGTGCTGACATGTAAGTGTGTTGACATATAGGACAACTTATTGTACTGGTTATTCCTCAGTTCTAAAGGTCACCATTTCAAAAAGAGGAAGCAGCTATTGGGGGTTGCAAAGATGAAAGGAAGCGGACATTAGCCTGGCTCCTTGTAGTCTCCAGCACTGAAACCCACCGTTTCTTCAAAATCAGTCTGGGGGTGGGGGGCGGAGAGAAAGAGAGAGAAACGTGGTTAAATCCAGGGCAAATGCTGGGCTCCCCCATCGTTTTCTCCTCCCCAGAAGATCGCCACCAACTCACCTTCACAGGGGGGCACATTTTGGCATGGTGCTTGCTCCTCCACCACCAGCCCCTGTCCATCCAGCGGCTGGCAGTTGGGTCTTGGGTGCCCCCAGAAGCTGACGTTCAGTACCTTCCCGTTCTCTCCTTCCACTGTCATTCTGCAAGCCAGAGAGAAAGGATCACAATGAAGGGGCTGCTTGGCTTAGGAGGTCACACTCCACTCCCCTCCCCTGTTCCTCCAAACTGGCTTCTCTGAGACAATAACAACACGGACAACTCCAGCAGGATATGTCTTCCCCCACCTCCCAACACAGCATGTGGTACCACTGCACATTTAAGGCTGTGCCATACCACTATAAACAGTCATGGTTTCCCCCCAAGAATTCTGGGAGCTGCAGTTTTTTAAGGAGCGCTTGTAGGAGACCCTACCCCATTCCCCTCACAGAGCTGCAATTCCCAGAGTCCCCGGGAAGACCAACTGACTGTCCTAACAACTCTCAGTACGCTTAGCACACTTCAGTTACCAAGAGTTGTGTTTTTTTTAAGGAAGCCATGACTTCACCCCACTGGATTCCGGCTCAGAGCACCCCAGATATTGTTGCTGGCTACCTTTTGTACTGGTTTTGCATGTGACTGCGAAAGGCTCAGGTGTCTTTATATTCAGGGCCAGACTTAGAGGGTAACTAGGACCCTTTCCTGGATAATCCAGCAATGGAATCCTCCATTGGATTTTAACCCTTGCTGCATCCAGGACCCCAGGAATTAGAAGGGGCTCAGTCATCATACAGCCTAACCCCTCCCTGCTCAAACTCACAACAGCCTATCTGTTTCCAATCTGATTTTATTTATTTTGATAAATTGTATGCCCATTTGTTTTTCATGTGTGATTTTTATCAGTATTATTAGTGAACATTCTTTATTGTTTTGTGCAAACTGCCAAGTAGTTTTTGCCTATTAACTCTTGTCAGATAAATACATGAATTCTGCACTAGCTGCAGCTGGCCAGTTAAGCAAGTCAGAAAGTGGTTTCGCAGGCTTGCCCTTCAAAAATGAAACAACTCCCTATTTCTCTCTCCCTCAACTCAACTCAGCGCTCTCTCTCTCTCTCTCACACACACACACACACACACACACACACACACACTGCCCTTCCCTCATTTCATACTCACGGGTAATTGGGGTAGATGGCTTTGCACTCCCTCTTGCGAGATTTCATGGGCTTCTCCCCACAGGGCGGGTTGCAGAGGCCCCATGGGCTCCATTCTGTCCAGGCTCCTTTCACTGAGAGAAGCCACACAAATCAGACCCACAGGCTTGGCATCCCTTGTCTCCACCTCTGCCTACTGAACAACTACCATGAAGGGAACTGTAGCTCTGTGAGGGTTCTCCCCACAGCTCTCAGAACCCTTAACAAACTACAGCTCCCAGGATGCTCTGGGGGAAAGCATTACAACTGTTAAAGGAGTATCAATATGGTGTCAATATGACAAGTAGAGTATCTGAAGAACCAGTGGGGCATGGCAGTGAGAGCCTCAGAAAGGGACCAGAAAGACATGGGACTCAGCTGCATGGTAAAAATAAAATGTTATAAATGCATTATAACATGTGATACCAGATGGTGCTGTAGAGCTGGAATCAGAACTATAAAATTTTCCATTATGAGCTTTTAAAAAAAATTCAGAGCCTTTCTTATAGTTGTGTAGATGCAGCCCTGCTCAACCCGAAGCACACAGGGTGGCTTTGGGCCAGGCATTCAAAAGCAAGGGGCAATAATCAGCTAGGGAGAGGCGGTTGGCTCACCTACCCTCTGCCATCGTGCCTCATGTCTACAGCTCACTAGGGCTGTATCTGTTTGGAAAGAGATATCCGATACTACACTTGATCTTAACCAAGAGGCCTAAGAGATGGGAGTCTGTTACAGAGAACTCACTTGTGAGCGGACAGGTGTAAGGTTGCACTATATGAGAACTGAAATTTTATGTTGGAGATGCACAACTTGGATCCGGGACTGGATAAAATTAAAAAACACAGATTTATTAGATTTGAAAGGGCACGACAATAGATTTGGTTGGCGTGCGTATTTGTGGTACAACAAAGGGAAAATACATAAAGCATTTTATAATCAGATAATTAGGAGATCACTTTTAAGGGCATGGGGAAAACATAAAGAACTATTAGAACTAAAGACCCCATGGTAGGTTTCCCCTACAGAAGTAATTTCAATCAAAAAAAATAAATAGGGAGAAAATATGGCCTACATATAGAGATTTGCTAATAGAAAAGGAAGGGAAGTTAATACTGAAAGAATATGAGGAGATTAAAGAATATGTGTATGATTGGCTGCAATATCGTCAATTAAATGAGGTATTTAAAGAAGATTTAAAAAAAGGTTTTAGCTTGAATATTTCAAGATTCCAAAGAGAAATTATAGAAGATAATACCAAATTGTTTAAGAAAACAAATAATTTATTATTAGAATGGGAAACAAAAGATGAAGAGGTAAAAAGTATAATGATTAAATGGGTGCAAGATATAGGACACAATAAAGAAATGGAAGAATGGGGAAAATTATGGAGAGTAAATTTGAAATTTACTGATTGTATTTTAATAAAAGAGAATTATATGAAAATGATGTTGTTGTTTAGTCGTTTAGTCATGTCCGACTCTTCGTGACCCCATGGACCAGAGTATTACACCAGAAAAAAATAGCAAAAAGGTATAGAACAGGTTCAAATAAGTGTTGGAAATGTAAAGAAAAGGAAATGTAAAGAAAATGAAGGCAACTTTTTCACATGTGGTGGAATTGCAAACTGATTAATAAGTATTGGGATATGATTTGTAATGAAATTAAGAAAATATTTAAATTGACCAGAAGCTTTTTTATTAGGTATTACAGGTTAAGATTTACTAAGAGAAAAGAAGAAATGCTTTATGTATGCTACAACTGCAGCTAGGAGGTTATTAGCCCAAAGATGGAAAAGCGAAGAAATACCAACTAAGGAAGAATGGCTACAAAAATTAATGGAATATGCTGAAATGGCAAAGTAAACAGAAAGACTCAGAGACTCAAGAGAGAATTTAAGAAAGAATGGGAACTTTTCATGTTGTACTTACAGAAACAATGTAACAATGTAAAGATCTAAACTCACTACCAGGATTTGAGTAAACATTTACAATTAACAACAGAAATAATAATTATCAATATGGAGATAACATGTACAATATGTACAAGGCAGGGTTTAATGGGGGGGCGACCAGAAAAGGAAGTTGAGGGAAGTCGGGGGGAGGGGGGGAATTGAGGGAATGTATTTTGTTGATTTTGATATGTGGCAATGTGATAAAAATGTAAAATCCAATAAAAAATTATTTAAAAAAAGGAAAGAGATATCAGAAAGTAGAATCTTTGTTGCTGTTGTTTTTAAAATCCACATGATAGAGGAATCATGAATGGCCTTATTAGATTGCACCATCTATGCCCAGCATTCTGCTTCCAGTGGAGGAGCCTTTGGGCTCTCGGAAGCAGGACACAGCCTCTTATTCACCACCCAGCACCTCAGGAGTATTGTCCAGGAGGCCTGAGCCCCAGGTGTTTGGCACTTTCCTCCCTTCTACCTGAATTGAAAATCCTTTTTTTTATATACATAAGGCCACTTTCCCTCAGTGCTCACATCTGTGCACATCT